AGGAAATACGACAAACTTAACATATAGCAATTCCAAAGTGAGTATAATATTAGTGATGATTCTTAAGAAGAGCACAAATTGAAGTTAGGTGGCGCGACTTGTTTACTTTGAGAATCATACCGATCCAAAAATCAACTAATCCCTACTATTTGCCTTAGCTCTCAACCACTTTATGTGTTGCAAAAAAAATAATTCGAAGAAATTTGTGATCAATTCGGATTTAAATTAATCCAAAAGCGTGATAAAAATGAATATCAAGTAGGAATCTTAAAATAATAAGTTTGATACGATTAAAGTCGAAGAGCTATGAAATGCAAAATGATCATATGATGGTATCAAGGAAGAATAGAACGGCTATAAATAAATAAGAAGTATCAGTATGGTAATGATAACAGCCTCATAAAAAACGATTTTAACGATAAAGAGATGGAAACTAACTTGAATTAGAACGGTGATTTTAGACACTGATCCCCCAGAAGGAGAAAGACTAGAAAGAGGGACAGATGGCAAATGGGCCAGGTTAAAAGAACTGATAAATGTGAAAAAACCAAGGCGTGAGTTGGGATGGACTCTACGAGTTGAGTTGCCGTGAATGCGCAGGCAGACTCCCTCCTCGGCAGCGCCCAATAGGTGATCGAAAATGCACTTCCGTCCAAAGCTGGACATGAAAGATTCTAATATGACACGTTGTAAGGCAAAAAAATAAACAAAGTGTATGCACGCACTCACTAATGTTCGATAAACTGATAATATGGGCATTTGAAATGCAAAATAAAAATGGGTATAGTGCGAAAACAACAATTAATAAATGAGTCAATTTATACAAAAAATGTAGCGCTCTGTCAAGCTTTAGTTTAATTTAATGAAAAAGCAAGAGCTCAATAAGCCAAGCTCATTATAATAAAAGATGATCTCAATACGCTTGTACAATGCTACAGACGAAGGTACACGAACAAAATGTGTAGGGTATACATCCACAAGTGGAAAATTCTATTCATAATAGGAAAACAAAAAAATTGCTCGTGATTTTAGCGCCATAAATGAGTAAATATGCATAGATTAGCAGTTAAATGCTGCTGGTAT